GTAAGTAATGGTGGTGTGGATCTGTTGCCTGGAGAAAGACTTCTCGACCTTGAGTATGCGGACGATATTGTCTTACTGTGCGATAATGCCCAAGGCATGCAATCCGCACTTAATCAGTTGGCAATCAGTGTCCGTAGGTATGGTATGTGCTTTGCACCTTCGAAGTGCAAAGTACTTCTACAAGACTGGCAGGATTCTAATCCTGTACTCACCCTGGACGGTGAGCAGATAGACGTAGTTGAGAAGTTCGTGTATCTGGGTAGCTGCATAAGTGCTGGTGGGGGTGTGAGTGATGAGATCAATGCACGAATAGTGAAAGCCAGAGCGGCTTATGCCAATCTGGGCCACCTTTGGCGCCTTCGTGATGTTAGTCTGGCTGTAAAAGGTCGGATCTACAACGCGTCGGTGAGAGCAGTTTTGCTCTATGCTTGTGAAACCTGGCCTCTCCGAGTTGAGGACGTTAGACGACTCTCTGTGTTCGATCATCGCTGTCTCCGAAGGATTGCTGACATTCAGTGGCAACACCATGTCAGTAATGCAGAGGTTCGGCATCGTGTGTTCGGGCACAGAGATGATAACTCAATTGGTGTCACCATCTTGAAACACCGACTTCGGTGGCTTGGACATGTTCTCCGAATGTCGTCCCAGAGAATTCCACGTCGTGCATTATTTGCCGACTCTGGGACTGGTTGGAAGAGGCGGAGAGGTGGTCAGTGCATGACATGGTGTCGTGGCATGAAAGAAAGCTGCAAAGGACTGGCTTGTGTTGGTCCTTCACGACTCCCTGGTTGGGGTCCGAGAGATGGTGCTACACAGTGGCTAGAGACGTTATCAGATATGGCTCAGAATAGAAGCCAGTGGCGATCCTGCTGTAACCTTCTTTTACTTTCTTTCTAAAAAGTGGTTGTGTCTCCTTTACCTGAAAGATTTCTTCTGATTGTACCTTTTCGTTCCGTCGTTACTACCACACTACCTTACTCCAATCTCTTCGTCATTGTTCTCTTTTTCTTTTGCGTTCCCTAGTTTTTTTTTCTTTCTATTTCTCTTCGAATTTTCATTGTTTTGTGTGGCGCATATATATTGGCGCTCTCTTGTACCAATATTTATGTGTTCAAATAAATAAATAATAAATATTATTTTTAGCAAACACAAATTTTAAGCATAAGGAGAGACATCGTCTAACATGGCGACCCCCTACACCAAACCAACGATGGACTCAAATAGACCATATTGCCATCAGTCATCGTTGGAGAGGGTCGGTAGAAGATTGTCGTTCATTCTGGAGCACCTGCTTGGACTCCGACCATGCCCTAATACGGGCACGCATCTGCTTGCGCCTCAATGGACGCAAAAAAGCCACATTAAAAAGACCCATTAGAACTGAGTTGAGTAACGAGAAAACCAAAAGTAGGTTCCAGGAACAACTGAGGTCACTTTTAGGTAGTTGTGAAGACGAGGCTGACCCAGATGTTGCTTGGAAGGACATACAAGCAGCTGTGGAAACAGCAGTGACATCTATTAGTGATTTAAACCACAGAGTTACAAAGAACCAGTGGATTTCTTCAAGGTCTATTGCACTGATGGATTCTCGAAAACTCATCCCATCAGGCTCTGAACACGATGAAGAGCGACAACAAATCAGATCTAGGTTAAGAAAAAGTCTAAGAAACGACCGTGAGCAGTGGTGGGTAACGAAAGCAAAAGAGATGGAAAAGGCGGCGACTATAGGGAACACAAGACAGCTTTACAGACTAATAAAAGAAACTGGAATTAATAAGTCAAGTGTAAGTGAGATTATTTCGGAAAAAGATGATACTCTCATCTGCTCCCAGTCCAGACGTTTAGAACGATGGGCGGAACATTTTAGAGAACAGTTCAGCTGGCCTTCAGCTACTCTACAACTACCCTCCATTCCCAGACAAAGTGAATGGAACATTGAAGTAGGTCCCCCAACTCTTGCTGAAGTTGAGAAGGCTATAGTTAATCTGAAACGAGGAAGGGCAGCTGGTCCAGATGGATTGGCTCCAGAGGTCTTTAAGGATGGTGGTCCAATTTTAGCTATTAGGTTGACTAATATTTTAGCTAAGATCTGGGAGTTAGACGTTATTCCATCTGACTGGTCACAATCACTTATCGTCCCAATATATAAGAAAGGGTCAAAATCATCCTGTGACAACCACAGAGGGATTAGTTTAACAAACATAGTATCTAAAATACTGGCCTCGATAATTATCAAACGCCTAACTAAGACTCGTGAACTACAAACACGAGAGAACCAAGCTGGCTTTAGACCTGGTCGTGGCTGCATCGACCACATATTCACCATTCGTCAGGTTCTAGAACACAGGCATACTTATCGGCGTCCGACGATGGTGGTCTTTCTTGACTTAAAAGCAGCATTTGACTCGGTAGACCGCGAGATTCTGTGGCAGTGTCTGTCATTGAAAGGCGTACCTCAGAAGTACATAAACCTTGTGAAGGCTCTTTACTCGAACACTACTAGTCGAGTCAGAGCTTATGGCGAACTGTCATCTGATTTTGCAACCTCAAGTGGTGTCCGTCAAGGCTGTCCACTTTCTTCATTTTTGTTTAACTTCATCATAGACCTATTGATGGAAATAACATTCTCGGGTATTGATCTCCATCCAGGAGGTCCACTTATTGACTTAGAATACGCGGATGACATAGTCCTGTTTGGTGAAGACGCTGATAAAATGCAGTCTTTTGGTAGCACTGAGCAACAATGCCAGAATGTTTGGGATGCGCTTCTCTCCCTCTAAATGCAAGTTGTTGCTTCAGGACTGGTCTGCGTCAACACCTGAACTAAGAATAGGGAGTGAAGTAGTCGAACGCGTTGACAACTCCACTTATCTTGGAAGTCTGATCAGCCCTAATGGGTTGGTGTCTGGCGAAATCTCAGCACGGATTCGAATAGCTCGCTTGGCTTTTGCCAAATTACGTCACCTATGGCGAAGGCGAGATATCCGTCTATCAATAAAAGGACGAGTATACTGCGCGGCTGTTCGTTCTGTTTTAATTTACGGCAGCGAAACATGGCCCTTAAGAGTAGAAGACACCCGTAAGCTACTAGTATTTGACCACAGATGCCTTAGAAATATTGCTGGCATCTGCTGGGATCACCGGGTAAGTAATAGTGAGGTTAGATGCAGGGTATTAGGGAATGATGGTAAATCAGTTGATGAGGTTGTGAATTTTCATCGACTGAGATGGTTGGACCACGTGTTGCGTATGCCTGATTGCAGATTACCACGATGCACAATACTGACTGGTGTTGGGGATGGTTGGAAGAAAGTTAGGGGCGGCCAAACCAAAACGTGGCATCGGTGCTTGAAGTCACTAACTTCCAGTCTGAGCCATGTTGGTAGATGCAGACTACTTGATTGGGGTCCGCGTGACTATTGTAACCAATGGTTGGAGACTCTTGGTGACATGGCTCAGAATCGATCACAATGGCGTCGGTGTATACACTCTCTGTCTTCCCTTAAACTAAGAGATTAACATTGCTTCATATCTTTCTTTCTTCTTGTACTATATCCTTATTGCAATCTTTCTTTTATATATTACCACCTCTAAATTAACTACTTTTATGAATCCGGTGTCCATCTTGTTGTGTTAATGAGGTATGGCAACTTGGACCGATGCATAAATGTGTCTGGTCCTACGTTGTAGCTGACTGACTGGTAGAACCATTGGAATATCAACATGGCATGCTGCGACTGGACGATAGCATAATTTGTCCCCTTGCGGGTGGGCTGAATTATAATGGTGTTATAGCCAATATTAATAATTATAGATACCCACGTTTTTCCGTACATTTTTCTATTCTTACCCAATAATCACTTCCCCGTCTTTTGGTTTGCCATTGTGGGGGTCTACAAGTTCAAGTGCCATTAGTTGTATATCGTATTCTGCCGTAATCAAGTAGAGGCCTAACAGAAATTAAGAAATGGTTGACACTGTAAGTTTTTTTTATATCGAAGCAAGTGATTTCAAAATCCCTAATTCAAGAAAGGAGTAAGTTATGTAAGTGAAAACTCAGTTAGGTGATTTCAGTATTATTTTTATCATGGAAACTTTTCAATAAAACTACAGGGATTGGAGTATTGAAGCTGTTCTGTATCACTAATCGATAATCACTGATGCTTGCTAACCAAACTATATTGAATGCAATTCACGAATAAAGCTTCTCAATCTAGTGTCTTATGAATGGGATTAAAGATAGTATTGATTTTTCATATTTTCACCTATCATCATTATTTTGATACAGAAAAGACTGTCTGACGGAACTTTCTTCGTAGACTGTATGTTGTGATATCATTTTTCGTGTTCAGCATATTTTACGATTGTCTTTGTTTCATCAATACTATTTTGCTATCTCTTTAATTACTTAGTAGCTGGAAACCTGTAAATCCCTTACGTTCAAAACGCTTCATTAAAGCTATCATTTGTCGTATATTTATTTAAATCAAAAGCTGACAAAGGATAAAAGTTGAAAAAGTGCAGCAAAGTTTTACATGATATTAATATGTATCTAAATTTACTTGGTCCCCTACAGTTCATCATTCACTTCTCTTTATTTCATAACCCAACTAAATCAACTTTGTATGATCTATCATTCTTTACTGTGTCGATTTTATGTACCAACTGATAAATTGTTTGGTCATTATTTTTTATATTTAATGAGACTAATAAAAATGTTATTATTTTTCCAAAAGTAAATTTGGGTCTTCATAACATTCAAACCAACAGTCTCCAATAAGTTCGATGAGTCTAATCATGATGGCAGGTATGGGTACATTTGTTAACGAGGTCATCATATCTCTTTAGTCTCCGAATTTCACATTCAGCTGTCGTATCATGAAACTATGTAAGAGATCGTGTACCTATAACAACATTATCTACAAATAACATTTATAAAGTACTGATTAAATTAACTCTCTCTCTCTCTCTGTGTGTGTGTGTTTGTGTGTGTCTTTTAGGAAATACAATTGCAATGATAGAATTCGATGGACATCTGTTTATTTCCCTTATCTATATCATCAAGCCCTACGTGGTCTGTCAATGATCGTGGATGGATTTTTGGGTATTCAGCCAAGTCTTACAGTTGGTATTGATCCATTTGTTGGTGTAATTCCAGAACTTTATGGTCCTATCGGTCGATTATTTCAAAGTTACCCTTCATTTCATATGTACACAGATACACAAAGCGTGAACAATGATGATGGTAACTTATTGATTGAAATCATTTTGTAAAATATGTAATATGATATATGTAGAAATCTGTGGTTGTAAATGGTCTAAATCTATGAAGTGTGTGTTCTATATATAATTTTATTAGTTAGACTGACATTTATATAATTTATAAACTATTATACTCTACAGTGTGAAATGCTTTAAGGAGATGATATATCGTATATCATGTACGTACCATCCATTTCTCTTACCTATATATTAATTTTGAACGGATTGTCTAGTAATCCTATAATAAATTCAACTTCTCTGTGATCAGTCAATTTATTTACCAGTTGTTGGAATTTGTTACAATTTTGTTCATGACTTCTTTGTAACAGTGCATCGATTCATTGGTCAAGGCACTTGGCTATCAACGATTAAGTTACTAATTCGGCTTGTCCCAGATAGTATCATTAGCCCTTAAACAAGAAAATTCTACTCAATATCAAGTGAATGAACATATTTAGTTACTGAGGTCCAAATAGAAATTGTAATGAAGAAACCTCGTTACTCTCACTTTAAAAAAATACTCTGAAATTAGTTGCAATGTCATTACAGTTTCGTGTATTACAAACATATTTATTTATATAATTTTCTTTAAAACGATTATGAATAACACCCGGTTAACATAAGTGCTGATTATTTTCTCTATGTTATGCACATCAGAAGTCAGGAAAGCCCTTATGACGGGTTTTTCAAATATTCAAGGTGGAACACGATTGGCTGCTGGTAGTTTTTCTACAGAAAAAGCAACTAGTAAGTAATTGTTTCTATTTTTAAAATGTTTTAATAACTAAAGTATTTTCCTTAAGTCACATGCATTCTAAACAAAGGTGGACAGTGGTTAGCAATGAAATCCAGGACGCGCGTTTCGTTTTATTTGGGACTCGTCAAATGGATGTACCTGCATCCCAGAGTTAATGTTCTCTCTAAGACTCGAACACAGTACCGGCTAAGTAGTAACGCGATGGAGTCTGATGTGAACGGTACTGGGTTCGAGTCCCAGAGTGAGCATCAACTCTGAGATGCAGGTACATCCAGATGATGAGTCCCAAAAAAGGACGAAACGCGCGTCCTGGATTCCAATGCTAGCCACTATCCATCTTTGCTTAGAATGCTAGTTAATTAAGGCAATATCGAGGCGATCCGCACAGGATGTATATATGCCAATAAGAGACTGATCAATCGCAGTCCTAAACATCAATGGGAAGATTCAAACAAACAATCAAAAATGAATTGGAGTATTTTCCGTTTTCTTAAGGACACTTTAGTGTATGTTCTGCGATATTGTTTTTTCCAGAATCGATTTAAAGAGTGTACTTCAATTCATGTAATTATTCTTCATATGTTTATTATTTTAATCCCATCAAATTCTATGAAAACTGTAGGGTTTTTAATGTTCTGGTAAATTTTGGCGAATACACTTATTTCTAAGATTTACGTGTATAACTCGTTTTAAGTAAAGGTCTTTCAATCGTTGTTATCACACATTCGTTGATTAGAACGACAATTTCTAATCCTTTCTTATTCAGGAACTTAAAATGAATGTTTTGTAAAATTAACATCCTGAATTTGGCATTTGTCTAGCATTTTATGTCTTCTGTTTTGTATACAGTTAGAATCGACTAACTGATAGTACTCTCTTTGTTTGTTTAGTCCATTTTCAGAAGTGTGGAAATAAAATTATTATGTGAAGTATGTCTTTATGTAGCGTCACTAATAATTGTCTGTAGTAGAATTTGTACCGTTCGACGTGTTTCATTGGCAATAGGAATTACATTTAGCCTATTACTGATCCAACAGTTGATTAAATCCATTTAAAAGTCTTGTTGAAAGTATTTATAAATCATTTTTTACTTATGCTCACTGTAGTTAGTAGTTCACTTCCCTATCAATACTAAAAATTTAGACAATTATTATAGAAATTTGTGACTGATAAATTCCCAGAGCGATTGTCTCCAGCAATGGCCTGCTGAATTTGAGCAATAATTTTATTGTTTTTTTACGTTTACTTTACGTTTGAATAACAAGTGACAAATCACCAAAGTTGACAATTCAACAGTATTTGAAAATTAACAGGTAATAATTCCTTAAAGATTAATTTGATAAAACTTCAACGATTCCCATCTATGATTATTGGTTTAGCTTACTGAGATTTTATTAACTGCTTCAAATAGGAGCTGATAAGTAATCATTCGAGTTATAATAAAAAGTAAAGAAGCAAAAATCCCCTGTAAAATATAAAGTACAATATATTTTTGGACAATTATTTGAGTTCACATAAAATAAAGCTGAAAAAACTAGATAGATTTAATATTTATTCGGAAGTATCTGAATCATTTATGCACACTTAGGTATATGGTAGATAGGATAAAGAGTAACAGGTTTTTTAAAGGTTCATTGGCTTAATGGTTAGTACATTAGACTTTAGATTGTTGGTTCGAAGATTGATACCGTGTTTTAATTATTTTGATTCACACTAAGGTCGATAGAATGCTAGCAGAATCACTAATTCATATAAATTTAGTTTGACTGAAGGCTGAGTACAACAATCTCTACCCGATTACTGACTATTATAAGTCAGTTTACTAATATAACTGTATACTCTTTTCTAAGTTATGTTGCTCTTTACATTCTCTGTCACAATACGCTTAAAGTGATTTTTTAAACTATTTCTTGCATTGATATTCCTACCTAGGAAAATCTAGATTAGCAAGCGTCGTCACGTCTGCTGGTATTCTTGCTTCCGCTGGAACTTCTGGAGGTTTGAAATCTGGGTTGGCTCCATTTAATAGTACTTCAGTACATATTCCTCATACCAATAGTAGTTCGTTAACTCCTATTGAAATTAATGCTTCTTTGACAAATGCTTTTCAACAGTCACAAACTCCAGTTCACAAGCATCTTTGCAGTTATCAAATGCTTCAACAAGTGGACAGTCAGTTAATCAAAAATTAGGAAATATTCCACCTATATTGTCTTTAGTTAATAGAAATCTGCAGGTCGACCATTTACAGAATTTAGCTACAAATTGGTTATCAACCTATTCTCAAATTATCTTAAATCCTCAAAGACCAGAAATAAACTCATTGTTACAACTATTTGGTGCTTGGCTTTTTGAAGCATCAGTATCAGGAGTTAAACAAGATTTAAGTGGTAAGTAAATCAGTTTCCAGTAATTCATCTCTTTTTTCTGTCTTATTTTATGGTTGTTGACTAAGTTAGGATAATGTTGAACATTGATTTCTTAACCCAAAATGTACATTTGATGCCGATGTTCATTACGCCATTCGAATATCTCTCAGCATTTTCAATCATTTCTAGATTATATAATAATAATTATTTTTTTCATAATAATAATAATATTAATAATAATACCGTCAGAAATTAATGAAATTCAACTTAGGCTTAATATCCAATGTTTTTGCCATGTTCATCTGTTCTCAAACTGATTTCACTCTACTAAATAATCGATCTCCTCTAAAATATATTCAGTTAGTATATGTGATGCCTAAATTTTTCATCAGTTTTTCTACTACTTATATTTATGATAGTACTTATTTTAATTATGTTTGTTTCTCATATATGACAGCAGATTTTTTATAATAGTTAATTTATACATTTATATTTCTTAGAATAATCTCATTTAGATATTTTACTTATTACGTTCATGGTAACGTTCTTTTCTAAACGAAATACCAATTTTCATCTATTCATCCAAAATAATTTTGTTAGAGATATATTTCTAAAAAAGGTCCAATATAGTCGACTTCTGTATTAATAGGACCTTTTTTTTTACTGAAATTACGACTATTGAAGACCTGGAGAAACTGAATAGCCATTTCGTTCTAGTATGAGACTCTTCAGTAATGCGCACCTACGACCCCGTAAACAAGAATCGAACCCAGGACCTTCAGTCTCACTTTTGTTATTTTTAGTTTACTATTGGTAATGCTCACGATGACATTCGATTAAACCTTTCCACTATTTACATTCTTTTATCACCTCTACATGTCTATAAAAAACACTTGTCTATTCAGCAAACTAATACTTTTACTAAGGTTAATCATCAGTTAATCAAATCCAGTTTGAATAGTGTATATCTTTTCTAATTTAACCCGTTGTCGCAAGATTCAAATGTTTTGAAAATAGACATCATGCAGCAGTATCAGGTACTTCCCATACTGTTACCTCCGAAAGAAAATCGTTGACAAAAGTCGACGGCTACATCTTAGTTGGGCAGATCTGGTTAGCCTCTTAATGGATTTGAAGTCTATTCTTTATTTTCTTCTGAATCTTGAGTTTTAATACTTTTTTATATTTCTTATTTCTTAATTTCATTTGTTCTTTTTACATTATAGTCTCTTATTTTAACTGTTATTGATACTTCAGTTATTTTAACATCTTTGCTTTCTTATCTCTTGTAATAACATGTGGAGCACTTTGGATCAGAATATATTTGTATCAGGTCATAAGTTGTATATCAACTACTTTCTAAATAGAATAGGTTCAGAATTACATTATATTTAAGAATTGTAAGGGGATTTCCAATAAATGAATCTGAATAATCGTGTTTAATTTTGTGCTCTGTTACTTGGCTTCATATTTCTCTAAATTACAACGCCTAACCTAATTGAACAATATGCCAAAGATATTGAGGCTAGTTACATGTAATGTTTTCACTTATTCAACCATCGACAATCTGATTCTGCAAATAAAAGATGAAACATATTGAGTTGATACTGCAATATGCTAATTTTTGGCAAATATTCAGATAGCTTTGGTAGCTCTTAAGTTGGTGATCTATCGATCAGTAGTGAAGATTTAATGTATCAAGTGAACACGTGTTACCAAGTCCGATAAGTGTTCAAACGTTACAGGCTTCAAAAAAATAAGCATCTTGGAAGTGGGTATCTCACTCGTCAACTATACTTGAAATCTTCCTATTATTATTGGTCTTATTGCTTCTTTATGCTAGTTAAATATAGAGTTATTATGTATGGAAATTAATCTTGGAGTAGCAGTCACACCGTTTATATCTGATATAATGGGTGGTTTAAAATATTTCTCTCTCTGGTATGCTGCAATATTATGTCGATCAGTCAGTCAGTCAGTCAGCTACAACGTAGGACCAGGCACATATGTGCATCGGTCCAGGTTGCCATACCGCATCAGCACAACAAGATGAACACCGGATTCATAGCAGTGGTAATAAATAAGAGAAAGATTGCATATAGAGATATAGTACAAGAAGAAATAATTGGTTCGTAGAAAGAAAGATATGAAGTGATTTTAATCTCTTAGTTTAAGGGAAGACAGGGAGTGTATACACCGACGCCATTGTGATCGATTCTGAGCCATGTCACCAAGAGTCTCCAACCATTGGTTACGACAGTCACACGGACCACAACCAAGTAGTCTGCACCTACCAACATGGCTCAGACTAGAAGTTAGTGACTTCAATCACTGGTGCCACGTTTTGGTTTGGCCGCCCCTAACTTTCTTCCAACCATTTCTAATACCGGATAGCATTGCACGTCGTGGTAATCTGCAATCAGGCATACGTAACACGTGGCCCAACCATCTCAGTCGATGAAGATTCATAACCTCATCAACTGATTTACCATCATTATGTCGATACGATAATGAGACTTATCACGTTATATCAGATCCTGGATTCACGACTCACAATAGCGAAGCAGATTAACACTAGATAGTATTTTATTCATCACAGTTACGAGCAGTCACTTTCGATGAGCCCAGGATAGAAATCAATGATAAAAAAGAAAATCACATATTAAATAGTCGGTGGTCTGTGTCTGCTTGTTCACGCTCAACGACCGATCATATTTTACTTTCACCATCACTTATCAGTGCCATTTTGGTGTTCTGTACCAGGATTAAACTTTTAAGAGTTGATCATTCTGTCTCTTGTATAATAAATATCACTCGATCTTATTAATTATTTTATATTCCTAAAATTGAAAAGTCATGATGTTAGAAGTAACTCGACTAGTCTCTATAATCACGTAGCATTTCTTTTTTGTCGTACACTTGGACACCAGAATTCCCTACATCTTTCAGTCAACTGTAGAAAGTTGTGGAAATTGTTGAATTTTTAAAGTTTTATATTTATTTTTTTCGGATTGTTTCTTGTTTGTTCGCATTACTCTTATTTGTCTCATCGGTGTTTGCCATCATAAACTTAATCATGCCAATGTTCCTCATAATTAAGGAATTTCTTTTATGCTATTGTACAGTAGATTTTTGTACGAAACAACCTATTCTACTACTTTGCTTATTTGTAGATTATGACTGTAAGTTTATTTTGTGTGTTTTTCCTATGTATTAAGTTTCACGTATGTTAACTTTTCCTTTCTTTATGTGAAGACCACTTGTCTTTGGTTAATTCTTTCTAATAGAAGAACAAATGGCCAAAATCTTGTGTTTTTTAAAATTGTATCTAGGAGGATATGCTACTAGTGATATTGGTTTATTTAGGTTGAATTTTTATTGCTTTTAAGATTTAAGCACATTATCTGGAGGAAATTTGCTAATTATTTATTATTCTGTGTACTAGGAGGTATACCATATTCGTTGTTCATACTGATATAGAATGCAGCATGAATGATAGTTCTTTTTAGTCCCATAGAGTTGAGTATTAAATGCGTAAACCATTTTATTTCAATCGTCATCCTCTTTATTTTATATTTTCATGATGAAGTGAAATATTCCAAATTTTTTAGCAAGATAAATTTGAACAATGTTTCTGTAGAGTTGTTTATTGTTCTCTCATTTTATGACAGGTATTTTTCTGCCTGTGCATGATAAATCAGTATTCTTCATAATTTCAATTTTGTTTACTCACTCACCACGCTCGTGTTTTTTCTCTTAAAAAAACTTAGTGCGTTAACTTCGTTAGCTGATAACTGTTTCAATCACCAATTTCTTGGTGTTAGATAGTGTCGTTTCTTTTTCATCAACTAAATATATACGTCTGTACTTTATGACGTAACTGACAGTTATAAAATTGTAGAGTTCAATCACTGATAAGTTTATGTTATTACTTTGCTTTAATGCATCAATAATTAAATTATCTACGCGAGAATTAGTTTATGAATTGTTATGTATAAATTGAATGATAAGTCATTGAAGAGCTGAGTCTCCCTTAAATCCTATTGATCATTATCAATATTAGTAGGATGAAGATAGAAAAATACGGCTTGTTAAACTTATTCACTAATTAGTGAATAAGAAACGTAATTAATAATTTGTTTTGACGGATCAATTATTTGTACTCATTAATTACTTGGTAGTAATTAGTTTCATGTTGTCTAATGCTTCTTTTTGATCGAATTCTCTCAGTTAAGTCACAATATGACCTTATATCAGTCTAAGTGACTCAGCATTACGGTTTACTTTCTTTGAAGTTAGGGAAGATTCTGTTGACAGTCAGTGGGCCATAGATGATCCTGGTTACATCTTATTTGGCAATTGTCAGTAAGTAGTATTTGTAATACCTAAGGTTCTGACATTCCCCTTTGTGACTAGAACTTATGTCGCACTGTATCGTAATCAGACGATATCATTGAGATATTGCAAAATGTTTTATAAATACCATATAATACTAAATGTTCTGATATGAGGCGTCGAAGCTACAACCTTAGTTTGCAAGTTGTTTAGCAAATAATACCTAAATAACATGTTGCTGTAGGCTTTTTCTTTTCAAATTATCCCAATAATAATATGATTCCTGACTATTCACATTTCCTGTTAAAATACTACTGCAGTCGTTAATTAAATTAATATAACCTGAAATATACTGAGAAGGAATTGTCTTTGTAGGTGTTTTACAGATAGAAATCAGACAGGACTAAGTTTACGGAAATTTCCGTTCATTGTTTCTGACAGTATCAGTGTTATCTTTAAGTAATTGATCATATATCGTCTTGTGTTCAACAACCTTGAGCATGTTTAAGTTATAGAACCTAAATATATAGTTTACCGATCTAGGAAAGTTTGCTTTTTAACCATCAATATTCATCACGATGATTTATTGAATCAATTGTTTAAAAATTATAGTTTTGGTAGATATTCCCGGTAGAATTTTAAAGTATACTCTGTTCATATTGGACAAGTAACCATTTGGAGGATAGGTTTTTTAATGTTCGGTCATACTTATATACGTTTGGCCTACTCTTGTATAATAATTCACCTATAAATTCTGTATTAAATTATACGAACATAACTAATATCCTGGTTGAATTGTGAAAAAGCTGGTGGATTGAATTAGACTGTTCGGTGTTACCAGTATATTTATCCTGTTGTGATTTTTTAAACAATTTACTTCGCAACAATTATGTATAGATATAATCAAAATTATATATCATTTGAGCTGTTGATGTGCAATTCGAGTTATCTTGTAACAATTAGAGTAACCCATTGTGTAATTGCGAATTCAGCGAAGAAAAATTGTTTTCGACGAAATTATTTACTTAAGCTGTACATTCGTATTTATAGTTGTATGATAAATAAATGTTTATAGAAGGATAGAAAAGATTGCATCATATAGTGATTCGATACATCAAATACCGAATAGGGTTACGTGATAATCAGAGAGTTAGATAAGAATGGAAGAATGCAAGTAATTAACAGGTCAGAATTTTGAAATGTAATATTCCACTTAACAGATATGAAGAAAAATGAAAAAACATAAAGGCCATAATAACAATTAAATAATCGTCAGGATAAACCCCATTTTATATCTTAAATCTCCAATCCCTTTATGATGCAATCTTCTCTTTGTCTTACGCAAAACATTAAACTGACTGTGTACTAAGGGAAATTGTTTCACACCTTTCCCCGTGCTCTCCTCAAATCTGTCGTTTAATAATATCTATAGTTCTAGAAAGGATTTCACTGGGTATTATTGTTTTATTATTGACATGAAGACCAATACCTTGTGTGATAACGAACATTATGATATTAATGAACTCGAGTAATCACACTTGCTAATTCAGTTTCATGCTGTTTAATGGAGAGTTATCACACTAACACTGTAATTTCATTTAATTATGTATTGGTATGAAGCAGTTGAAGAAAATAAATTATTATGCACTAGTGTAATGATTTCCAGAAAATCTTTAACAAAATGTTTTTTATAAAAATAATAATGATTCCACATACAATCAAAAGTAAATGTTTCCCATGGAATTCTATTAATCAGATCTCACATGGAAATAATGATTTACAGCCAATTAAATAATTATTTTAGCAGAAAGTTTGACCGTGGAAGAGTTGAGGATGTATTCCAATAACACTTAAACTAATCAGTATTTGTTTAATATAATTGGTTATATCCTCAAAATTTATCCTTAGATGTATCAAAAATACTACAATCGGTTTAATGTCAGTCATTTTACATCGTATGTTTACATATATACAAATTTCGATTTTCTCCCATTCATCTTGCTAAATAGTTTACTATATGTTACGTTTATTATGTTGACTTTGCCTTATGTTATGTAAAGACGGGTTCTTTACAATGCAGCTGGTATCTTAGCTTGGGTTTTTGTGTGTGTATTTACAGCTAACCGTTTTTTTGGTAACTAACTAACTTACAAAGATTTCTGTTCAAAAATTGTGGATTTATTGTTGTTGGTAAGAATTTTTTTATTCAATCTGTCCTATTGAAGTATTGAATTTCATATTCTGTTAAATGTTTGCAAAAAATCCTATCAAAAGTAACTATTGATGTCACCTTATGATTTCACAGTAAACTGTTTCCCGAAGACGTATTCGTGGTAATTTTATGGTACATCCCAGGATATATATGGAGAGAGGGAGAGGGGGAAAGTCTGTCTCAAGTGAAAAACTAAAAATTTTCTATATGCGTTTCGCGACTTTGCTCATTTCGGAAGATAGGTCACTACTGGTCGCTAATGGAATTTTAGCTGAAATGTATAAGACAATTTGGTATTTGTCAGTTTTAGCTTACCAAACAGCTTATAAACTATCGTATACCACTTTATATATGTTGAACATATATTGAAAGTTTTGAACAATAAGAGTAAATCAAACTATATGGCTGTTAACTTTCACTGACTGAAGCAGCTCGGTCGTATGTATCTCCCGTCAAGTCATTGTCTACTTTTACTTGCAATGCTCACTAAACTGACTAGGTTGATAAAAGCTAATGGCGAACTGTTTGTCTAAATTACCCAAATAAATCAAGACTTATAGGATGTTTTCATGATAAACCAGTGATAAGTGGCATGTTTAGTATAATCTAAAATCCGTGACGACGTTTGGATTTAATCAACTCTATTCTGTACTCTATGTCAAGCCTCTTACGATTATTTTATATTCCTTTCTAAGCCCATATTTGACCACGTCTAGTGTAATATCTTTCCATTTTGATTGATTTCTATCTTGATGTACTGCTGTAAGGTTTTAAAAATGGGTGCTGTTTATCTTTGTACAGCATTGTATGTTGATATCTTTGCCTCTTTCTATGATGTTTTACTTCCTGTACAAGCGCTTTATTAGTTTCGGTTTAACAGCATTTACTTTCGCTTTCGTTGTTGTTGTTACCGTCGTCACTTACTAATTTATTTAGTGTTTTTATAATTATTCATATCTTCTTTATCTATAAAAATACTTGGGTTTATTTTTAACAGTTTATTTTTAAAAGGCTCTCAATGAAATGTTATAAAGTCGTCAGGCTGTTTACTATTGTTTGGTTACAGTTGTAGTTGAGTCAGTTATCTTATTCCAACCAAGAATCAGTTAGGCATTTGAACAGAGAGAGGAAGTATTTTTCACTTCTTTCGTTATTTCCTAAAATAAGTTGATTAACTTTCGTTTCATATGATATGTTAATGTATTATGTCACTTCTAAGGTACTCAGTTTTATTTCTCCTTATTATTGAACTATTTTTTCTTTCAGTTACTGTGATCAGTCATCGAGCTACATTAATTGATAGTAATCGTTTTCTAGTTGGTCGTGCTGAAGCTCTTGGAATACTATGTCGAATAATGATCTACGCTCAACGTGGTCGTTTAGCAGAGGAATATCTTGCACGATTTTATTTATGTCTTTATTATGCATTGGTTGTGATCCAACGGTTAGTTTATGATATGAATCAAAATAACATCTTAATAATAATAAGGATAATGCTATGCATAGAAATTGTTTATTTATCATATGCTACTCAGTTGTACTAACTTGATAGTAATGTAATTAATTTATATTAGATAGGTTTATGATCATGAAATTTTTAAGATCGGTAACTTATTCTTCTATGAACTTCATGTTTATTGACAATTTAAGACTTTTATAGTTAGCGTCTATATTAGAAATAGATAAAAATTTTAAGATTAGACTGATATTTTTATATGGGAATAGTTGAACATTTGAGATTCACTGGTTTGATCTTAGGTTCAACTTATGAGGAGTGACTGTAGTGTAAGATTATACTTATGGTATTTTATAAAATTAAAGAATTTAGACTATCTTTTTTGCTTGTTGAACTAAACATGGATATCTGTATAACCTTAAAGTTTGATTTATTTTAAAGTCAAGAGTGTATACTGCTAATTTCTAGTCAGCTTCAAATTGATTTCAGCCCACAGTGAAAATAGTCTTCATATTATTGAATATAAGTAATGAACGAAAATATCAAAATTTAGCATAGATAGTATCAATAATAGTAATAATAATAAATGAATAAATAAATAACAGTATTTGAGTAGAAATAAATCGATAAAACTTACATTTGTATGTATGACTTCGAGGCAGTTTTAATTGAATGATCAATGGCGTTTCTGTTCTGGACTGATTTAACTGGGAAATTGCTAATCAGTTCATCATTCGAACCGTTTTCTTATCTTAAATAAATTTAAATTATCCACACTATCGTCGCCTTCGTTTATATTCTTAAACGTCATGCTCTTTATTTGTTAGTCGAATGCGAATAGGTGTTATGGTATATATATATATATATATATATATATATATATATATATATATATATATATATATATATATATATAACTACATTGTAGAAGCATCCACTTCAAATTAAAGAAAATCTATTTGGAGTAATTTTTGCACATACAACATTTTACGGAATTGTATCTACTATTTGAGCATGTGCTTAATTAATTAATATTTGCACCACATGATAGTCATCTATAAATTCTCTGTGAATGTAAACCATAGTTATCCACAATTACATACATATATTCTCGTAAGTATTATTATTATTTGGTAATGAGATACATTTTAGTGGTGCTCACGAAAATATACACATATATTTCAAGCTTATTTACAAATATGTCAGTGTATATTATATTGCATGTATTTGTATTCATAACAATTGAATTCAACTAACCATTTGTCTTTATTGTTACTATTTTAATCAATGAAATAATTGTAGAATTTTTCAATTTTATTAATTTTTTACTATAGGAACATCATGAAGAAACACTACTTTTTTCTCTCTTCGTTACCCATCTTATTTTCTTACTTGATTTCAGGTTAAAAATGATTATATTTTATGTTTAGTGTTATTCTATTCAATTGATTTACTTCGTGTTGATTTACCCGGTATCAATATTTTGATACCACGTATATATGGTGCTTGTCAGCATGTTTTAAAAGAAGAAATTAACATGTAAGTTACTATTTCTTATCCCGTGATTGTTAAAAGAAAATTATCTTTTTCATTAAGATATTATTATCATTGTGATAAAAAGAAGTCCATTCGTTGATGAGTATTGATAACGTGAAACATTTGAGGCTTACATTAAGGTGTAGTTGAGATTTATTTATTTTCTATTTGACTGACGAACTGTGGCTTCATATTTTGTTATTTCACTAACTTTAATGTTAGTTGATTTATTGTGACAAAAGACTCATAAATACATACTCATATTTATCGTCGAACGTTTTTGTTTGTTTGACAATCATGTACATGTTTGCACGCGAGACCGAAGGTCTCAGGTTCGAAACCCGCGTTTGGGATCGTAGATGTGCACTGCTGAAGAGTGTCATACTAGGACGAAACGGCCGTCTAGTGCTTCGAGGTTTTCAATCGTGGTCTAGCTTAGATTGACTCATGTATTCAACTATTAAGATTACTACAATCTCCACAAATCTCCATTCTGATAATTATGTACATATTGGTTAATAAAACTGAATGTTGTTGTTTTTCCTGTGAATAAAATTAAGATACCTATTCGAAGTAATCTAGTAATTTTTTATATTACAATTTGATGTTAGCTAAAGTATTTTGAGATTTTCACAATATCGTTAGATATCAGCTAAGTTAGAATTTTTAGTGGTAACGTGAACATTCTAATCGAAGTTAATATCAATAAGCATGTGATTCTATGTTTCAAATTAGAAGTTTCTGGAAAACAATAAATGTTCATTACTTATTTCTATGAACTCACATATATCATTTATCTAAAGTTAAGAATAAATTTAATACAACTGAATCTAGTTATGCTATGAGTTTTCATTTAGTTGACAATAATTTTTTTGATATATGCGTTTTTTTAGCTGAGAATGCAGTTCTATAGTATACTATATTCATTTCACTGGTTCTTTGTTGCCATCACCAATGTCAGTATTTTTTTCTGCTTAACGAAGCTTTAATCTATTACTTATCTGTTGCAGTTCTATTTCCATATTTTATACAAGTATTTCTAAATCTGATATGGTTAGATTAACATACAACAACTTATAAACCTATTCATTTTAACTCTGAACAGGATTAATTATAACTCGAATAGATCAGCTATCTGTACCACTAAAAGGCAAAACCAAAAAGATAGTTACGTCTCATTGATAATTGTTGATAAACATGAGAGTGGTATTTAGGTTTTTTCGCAGTGATTACCTCTATACGTAAAGATTATATTATACGGGTTTTGTTGGCTACATTTCATTTGTTAATCGACAGGATTCACTTGAACAAATAAAGCATTACTTACATGTAATTATTCCGGTTTCATAGCACTCACTTTATCATCAGTCTTTTATTGTAAGAGTATTTTTGTAGAACAATTTAGAATTTTCTTCTGTTTTTTCAATAGTTTGAAAAACGAAAAAGTAGAAATTTCGCTTTAACTTCATAGCGTTAGTCCTGACAAGTTAAGGCTCTGTAATTTATTTGATCACCATTATATAAATATCGTTTATTTATTGAATCTGACAAGTTACTGATAATTTTACTGCATTAACTTTTGTTTTCAATTTTACCATTAGTCATAATGTGTTCTCATGTAAATACTACCTTTTTTGTTCTAGGAAACCTGAATTTTTATCACCAACCTTGGTTCAACGTGCAGCTATACATCAGCTTATGTCAATGGTATGTATTCCTATTCAATTTAAAGGCGCACATTTAAAACGTAAGTAGATAGTGGGACCATTATAATTTCAAATTATAATAAACTTGATATCTTTTTGTCGAGGTATAAATAACATTTTAATCACCTTGATCTTACTTACAATAGTATATTTAGTCTGATCAATCAGTTGTGAAGCACATCCTTACGAAAGTTATTTTTGTTGTTATGCTGAAATCACTTATTCAGTGTGTAGTGTTATTTATCGTATAAGTGTACGAGCATTCACGATATTGATCGTGTTTCTCAAAAACAACAGTTGATTTGGAAGTGTACTGATTTTCTAAGCTTTGATATAGATTCTGAGTGTTGATAATCAACAATTTCATTAGATCACGTATTCTCGATTTGGTGCATTTTATTTTTATTGGGACCACTAAGTTATGTTATTACTTTGCATTATTTATAGTTTATACGGGTAAATTTAGTTAAACATCCAGTGGTTTGTTGAATATATATATGATATTTGTTGTTTGATTATTTACTTGTATTGTCGAGCATTCACCGTACTTGTTGCAACACTTATTTCTTGAATCATGCACACTACAAATGTTAGTAGGGTTCTGTCAAACTAATGATTACAACTTTTTGTGGTGTACTACTCAATGTAATTTTAGCCACACTGTCCAGAAGGGGAAATAGTATTGTTGCCCCTAGGTTATTCCAATGTAGTGTTCCAATTTATTGATTCATACTTTCATATTGATAGATATAATCACATTGATATTTTAAAACAAAAGATATCACCTTTGTGTTTATTTGATTTGGCTTTTAAATGACTATAAATCATATATTTCCTGCTTCACCCCTAATAGTGTTGTGAATTACATTCATATAGTCAATCTTTCCCTCCGAATATTGTTTTGTATTCTAGCCAGAATTTATAAACTTATGTGTAGTTTAAACTAAAAACTAATAGGAATCGTCAAAATCCAAATTATTGTTGCTACTTTTAATGGGAATCAAGTAGGTAAAAGAAGCACTCAGTAGCCGGGTCTATTATTGAACATTTAGTAAACGTTTTATTATCATGACTTGGAAATATAGTTGAGCTAATAAAATATTATCTGAACTTCATTAAGTTACTTCAGCATTACCCATAACTACTTGATTCCGAAGAATCTATTCAAAAGAATATTGTCCTGTCTAGTAAATACGTCCACTCGCAATTAGTTGACTAGTTCTAAAATCAGATACATTTTTCTGTGTCTTACCAAATTTGTTTACAGTGATTTATAAGTTATCGAGTATGTTTTCATTTGTAGCAAACTCAGCTTTGAGCTGCACATTTTATACATGGGATAAAGGATACTATCTAGCTATCCAAAACAGAATAGATGATATGTCTTCTGAACCTTACTATTTATTGTTATTGAGTATCCGGTGATTTAACTAATGTCATCACTTTAGTGTTCGCTTTTTTCACTGAGATATTTACCTATAAATACAAACTTTCTGAATAACTCATACTGTAATTTGATGAGTTATAAGAAGTTATACTAAATCATAAAACTCATATTTCTAATTAATTACATGAGTAACCTTATCCGTATATAATTTTATCTGGCTTTTTATTCAGTATTAATAAGGATTTTGAAATTTTCCGTTATTGATATTCGGAACTGAAGTTGTTTAGTCTCTGTCGCTGTATGTGCATCCTGAGCGGATTGCTTTAATATTGTGTTGTGTCACACGTATATTTCGTTTGTGGCCAGCACCAGGTTCACATACGCCAACAGAAACTGATCAATTAAAGTCTTTTACATCAATAACAGGAAGTCACAAATTCTCACTAATAACCTTCATACTCATTAAACAAGTTAGTAACTATCTGAACCCAGTAGCTCAGTGGATGTCCAATTGGCCATTTGAACGAAAAGTTTCCTAGGTTTAAGTTTTAGTAAACGATACAAGTACATCAAGCCGATGAATTGATAAGCGTATCCTGGATTCCACTATTAACCACATACCAAATATATTGGAATCCATTTAGTTTTATTGCCTAATCATTAATCATCTTTTATCAGAAATATCTCACTTTTTAATACTTAAATCATTCCATAGAAACATTTATTACAGAAATTCATAATGTTCATTTAAATTATTCTTCTTTTTTTTCTCACCATATTATGATTACTTCAAAACAAAAAAATAACCACATATACTAAATAATGATATTCATCTATTATCCGGTGATTGTTTTGTACTACATAAAACTAAAACAAAATTAATACGCATTTCATGTTGTGTATAAACTTTTAATAAGAGATCCTCATGTAAATATTGGACATTGAAGAAATTTGTGTATGAAATTGTTAAAATACATTTTGTTACATCATTGAATATATTTTCATCATATGGTTTCTTTACAACCCCTTAATCATAATACTTGTTTTGTAACTTATTTTTCAAGAAGTTTAATTATCATACCATTTTTTATTAATATCTTTATTCATCTTTCTTATTGTTATTAATTGCTGTTTCTTTAAGCTTTGATTCCTTTGATGTCTAATGATGATAATCCATGTTCATTGAATGATATAAAAAATATGATGGTTAATATTTTATGTGATACGTTGAGTAGTACAGAAGATCCGGTAAATTTTCAATTGTTATTAAGTGAGTATTATCTTTTTGTTATTTCAAATAAGATTCCATTGTCGTCATTAATGCTTCTCTTTAATGTATGTCTTATATTTATTTCTCTATTGGAGATGATAATAATAATATAGTTTACATTATAGACTGATCTTAAGCAATTGTTCAAAATCAGGAGGCATTGGACAATTATTTCGTCTTAGTGTATGACTCAGTAGCAGTGCTCATTCACTATCCTATCGGTGATTGGAGCTAGGAACTTTCGGCTCTGTGAGGAGCTCTTAGCCTTTAAGCTACTGAAAGTTCAGAGTTAGATTTCCAATAGGATCGTGGGTGATTTCTGCTGATAATCCACATACTAGGTTCAAACAGCTATCCAACAGTTCTTGATTATGAAAGGTTATCTTAGTAAGGTTAACCGTGATGTAAATTATGACATTCAACATGCTCCATAAACCCCTATACCGACAATTAAGTGCTTTATACAATATTATAAAGTTTTACAGTAGGGGATACTCAACACCAATTATGCACTGTTACAACAAGTTTCTCTTAGACCTGCTTACAAATTGTATTTCACAAATATTTTTTCAACAGTCAGTATTTGCCACTCAGCCACCAGGTCAATATTTCAGATGCTGGTTGGAGGTAGTCAAAGGAAAACCTGGACCTGTGTTTCGTGCTACTTGGCACTCGTCAGTGAGGTGTACCTATAATCTCGGGTGAACTGATTCGATCCCGTGTCACCCAGCTTCACAGTCAGAGATGTTACCACTGGCTATCCGGGCCGCGACTGACCTCCCATAGGACTGAGATGCATTTACAATTGATTGACCATTTGGTGGTGATTAATATCATGTGTGTCAGGTCCTTCTTAGTGCAGATCGAATCCTATCAACCAAGTTATTAATATTTTCTTGATTCGTCGTATGAATTCCAATGTAATTGCCTTTCGTTTCTTCAAAGGTTAGGGTAAAAAGGAAATATGCCATGGAGTGAGCTGTTTCCATCTGAATTTTCCAATATTGAGCACAGAATTAAAGCTGTAAGCTTCCTATAAAAGCGCGTGAATGTATGCAGTTGATTTTCATAATTATTTGCAGTGAAAAGAAATTTAAAACAATAATACTTTTTAAAACGTTTGGATGATTGAGAAGTGAATGTCCTAAATTTCTTAGCAGGTTACCATACTTCTTATCTTGTCAGTCTTTCTCTCTTTGTACTGATTTGGTGTATAGCCACTTGAACTGATGCACATTCATGCCAAGTGGTCATACATTGGCTATGATTGATTGATTTGATCATTATTTACTGTCTATTATAAGAACGTTCATGGATCTCGGTAATTTTTGGAGATGTCTGTAGATGGTCTTGTTCGCACATCGGGTTTATTAAGGAATTTCTTCCATATATAAATATCTTGCTGTTACCAAGAGCTTATTACCCGATATCGTTAAGTATGGGATAAAGACAATTATACACTAATGACATCTTATTAATGATTGTTTAGCCTTTTGTTTTTCTAGAAAATATATTTTATTATTTCATATTACCAATTGTTTGTTCGGCTACTTTCACCAGTTGTTCAGATCTCTATAACTTGATTAAATCTATTTAGTTACATTGCATTGTTATTTATTAGAATCATGAAATGGAATACAAAATCCATATAAATAGTTAGACAGAATATCTAATTCATAAGATATGTTCAAACTACATAAAAAACGTAAAATAGAGCAACTAAACGCCGTAATAACTGGACTCTTGAAAAACGCCTGTATTGTTTTTAAATGTCTCCCTTCTATCAGTACTTAAATTATCATTCAGTTTCACTTATTTTTAAGTTTTATGAACGCTGTTGCCAACACTCACTGTAGTTTCTATATTTCCATTATATATATGTATCAAAACCAAATCATAAATCGCAATAATTTTCATTTTCAACTATCGATTAGGTGTGGCGTTGGCTTTAATTGAAGACATGTCAGCTGATGAGATGCAGTCATCTAATATTCGAACCGACCCTGGCAAATCTCGTAAGTATTTTTAAGCTTATGTTACTTTTTTTCTAAGTTTTTAAACAGATATTCTTGTTTAATTACTCTTCGTGTTTGTGGTTGGGTCATGTTGTTGATGAAATTGTGTCAGTTATCTGCAGACTGTTTTAATAATATATATCACCAGCGCGTAATTGTGCATTCTATCCAGGAAATTTCGCTCCCTGATTTTGAATTAATGTTATTTTGACAGTCTGTTCGGAGGTGTAACACCTCGAAAGTCTAACTCGTTCGTGTCTGACGGAGAACTTCGTTCATATTTCAATTAAATGATTGAAGATTTATCAGATCACACAGAATGTCATTAGTGATACTGTCGTTTATGATAACAATTTCTAAATTGATTTATTACGTTCATGTAATTTCAGTAAGATAAGTGAATGCAACATTGTGTGCATACAATAAAATACATCTTGGTTTCAATTCTCCCACTTCTCAATATCAAAAAAGGAAATTTATTATTGTAAACAGAAATAATACTGTTGGACTGTGAAAGAATTTTCCAGGATAAATTATCAAAATTTGTAGGTACGTTAGATAGTAAATGCATCTTCGCCATTAGTGATTAATTTCAGGTCATTTTGTCTAGTCTCTTCACGTAAGTATTTCAACAAGTCAACACTCCCTTGTGCGACACAAGTCTAACAGTTAATGACTTCATAGAATAATATGATAGTGTGTTATCTATTAGACTATGGCAGTGTTTCTATGATAGTTAGGAGTATTTGAATTATAGTATGAACTAGGAATCCCAGAAATAACGTGATCGGATCAAGAAGTACTAGATAAGCACTAACGAATGTACTGTATTTGGAATTCAAAATCAAGCATTCAACAAGTACAAAGGAATCATCAGTTCATTCAAACACCACATCCGCCACAGCTTAAATTGGAGTCTAGGTGTCTGTAATCAATTGTACGTCTTCTTCTCAAGTTCATCCTGTGTATGTCTGACATTGTATTGGATAAAAACTATCTAGAATGCACTCATTAGTATTAGAATTAACAACCGAAATCGGAACAGACTCACCTGCTTCCTGGGATTGTGTAATCACCATGTCGGTTGTGCACTGAAACCGCTGCTACCTAGAATTTGAGCCATAGACTTTCAGAATATCCCCCCCACGAAATAATGTTGGATCTTTATATCCCCAATTTATGAATGATGTGGCTTCATTTAAATCATATTTCTCACATTGGTTAGAGTAAACATTAGAAGTGTTTTTGTGATAAGGATGAACAGCAGTTGATATGAAATCATCCGAATTGTAATCAAAATCGAGCTCATTTAGTACTTGTGCTTCACATTGAACAAGTTTCCCACAAGAAACAAATGCATCATGAGGACAAATAATATTGAGTATGACATCACGATTTGATTCTTCTGAAATAGTTTCCTCGAATTTACTAAGAATGTCATTGCAGAGTAAAGGATCATTAGAAAAATCAGCATCTATCAAAACTACATCAGGTTTTTGATCATGACTAGGTTTATTCAACATATTTTCCTCAGATTTGCAAGGAATTTCGTCAGAAATAAGTGAATCATTAAGAAAAACCATATCTTGTACAATAACATGAGAAATCTGATAAGTCGATTGATTAGAAACTGTTATTTCGCAAGAATTCTGAGTTTCATTTAACTCTGAACTGCTGTTTGACTCTACACTGTCTTTTGAAATCGTTGATAAAGATAAATAATCATTAGGAACACTGGACTTAATAGAATCAGAATTACAAGACTTGATGTTCGTTGCAGCAAGATGAACAGTAGTATTACAAACTTACTGAATATGTCCAATATCACCACATTTAAAGCACCTAGAATTACGAAATTTACATGAATTAAAAGAGTGGAACTTGCCACAGGACAAACATTGACCAAACTTGTGCCCATCTTCACGAACTGCATCGCAACTCCTCAGTGAATTATCTGCATAACTTTGAGTATGGACTGGGTTGGGGTGACGTAATGTAGTGGAATTTTTTATATCCTCGTGAATCATTTTACGAGATGTCCCTCCTTTACGACATTAGGAATTTGTATACTGAACATAATCTAGCAGTAGATCCTTGAGAATTGTATAAGAAGGCGAAATGGGCTTTCCCGGCATAGCCAGAGTTTTTAATAAGCTGTATGCTTCTTTTCCGATGAATGTGAGGAAATGTGCTACAATATTAACATCCTCAATATCTTCCTTGGTCATAGTCCAAATTTCGAACCTTTCAAAGTAATCCTCAAAAGCTTCAGAAGTTGAGTGAATATCTAACTTTTCCATCGCAGGCTGCATCGCGACGCCAATAAAATGTTTCAAATTATTTGAATTATCGTATGAACTAGGAATCCCAGAAATAACGTGATCGGATCAAGAAGTACTAGATAAGCACTAACGAATGTACTGTATTTGGAATTCAAAATCAAGCATTCAACAAGTACAAAGGAATCATCAGTTCATTCAAACACTACAATTTCCCACTTAGCTCACTTCTGATGTAGTGGAGGGTGGTTTTTTGGTATTAACGATATATGATCTAGTTAGTGCATGTTCAACATATTTCACGTAGGTGATGCGACAGCAAGTTTGTTTGTTTCTTTCGTCATTTGATTCGTTGGATTAACTAATGTGATTTGTTGTTAAAGCCCCACAGAACATACTTTCGTTTGGTTTGGCTTATTCTATTCACGTGTATTGATTTCCTCAAATATATTTAGGTGCTTCGTAATATTTATACACTAGTGTTATATATATATACTCATCAGTTGCAAACTTTCTTCTTACGTTTTAGACACAACATCTAGTTTCTTCAATATTCTGACACCACTGCTTTGTGGTAATTTAGTATATAAGTGGAAAAATGATTCGTCAGTTATGCTTTATTTATTAGAAATTATCTCTGGTTTATCTAGTGTACATGTTACACCAGTTGATCCATCTACTTGTAAGTACTTTAATATTCAACTTGTTTCATTTGATAAGATTTTTTTATTATCCGTCAATTAAAAAATTGTTATCTTCATACTTCAGATCAAAAAGTCATTTGAATTAATTCGAAAGATTGTTTTGTGTAAAGTTATTTTGTATGGTAAACTGATATCAACTGAACAATAACCGAGAACGATGGAGCACCGAATCGTTGTTTTTTTGTCTCACTTTCGTACACTTCGGTAATCCTCACCTATAGCCACTCCCCTAGGGAAGTGTAATAAAACTAAGGAGATTTTATTTAAAAGATGTCGTTTCTTGAATTAACCGTACAATTCGAATTAAATTCGTAGTTAGTTTATACTACGAAAAAATGGTAGACACTATCGTCAAACCTTTTAATTCACAGGGTGATAAGTTGTACGGGTAGTGTCCAGTATCATGAGTGTGTAGTGAGAGAAATAAACCCTAGCTGACTACATAATACATGAGATCAATAAACGATAAGGATTTATAAAAACTATTGTTGAAAGTGTAATTGTGTTTTAATAAAACCTATTTCAACTTCTTTCTTTTTCTTGTTGCCGTAAGTCTTCAATATTGAATGAAAAAGACAAATTTAACTAGAATTATATCGGTGTAAAAATAGTATTTTAGAATAAACAAAACTGTCAACACTTATATAATTGGATAAGTGTCTTTTGCTGTAGTGATACCAGACTTGATGCATGCAACTCTGGAATTTTCGGATCAAGAACAATTCTTATCGTTTATGTCACGACATATCAATCAATTCCAGCATGAGTGAATATACAATTTAGTTTTTTACTAGTTTCTTTTTCTTACTATGAAACACTTGTAAACCTATTAGTTGGTTATTGAGTAACTCCATTTTTGATTGAAGTAAAAGACAGTTATGTTTTAGATCTTTTATCGTTTTCTTTCACCTCTCATATTTCTTTTTAGATAGACATACCGTCCGATCAATATGTGAATTTATTACAAATCAATGTAACCGTGAAAAAAAAGACCATAAAAGGCAGCTACATAGTATTATTGTTGCTGCGTATTATTGTTTATCTTCATGGATTGTACAGCATGTGAACTTATTATTATCTGATCGAGAATGTGTATGGACTATATTAGAAACAATTGAATTGGGTATTTGTGGTGCTAAGTCTTCAGTATGTTATTGGTTGTTACATGTTGTATTTTAATTTTTGTCGAATCTTTGATGCTAATCTTATAATAATGACCCGTTCAGAGCTAAATAATTAGATATAACAATACTCTTAACATTTTTGTCTTAGTGGGGAGGAATAGTTCAGTGATTAAAGTATTAGACTTTGAGTTACTGGGTCATGCGTTCGAACACGTAATCGATGAAGCTTAGAAGCTATTTAATACAGTTTTATAATATACTGAGTGTCTGTGAACCATCTTAGTGTGGTAAACAAGATACTAAAGAAACCATAATATATTCATCAACTAAATATCGATGGTAAAATGATTTATTTGGTTTCTTTAGACCTATTCAACTATTTATGGATTATATTTGAAATGTGAGTTGATTGTGTACCTTAAATCAATATCATAGTAATAATTACTGCTGAAGAACCGGAATTAGGTCAAACCAAACATTTGATGCTATCTAGTAATTCCTCAATTGATATCATTTCCCGATGAAAATCACCTCTGAACTGTAGATAGGCTAAATCTTTTTTTCTATATTAGACTTTCAATGAATAAACTTATTATTAAACAATATTTACTTAATAGGTATCATTACTAAGGTTTCATTTGATAATTTCGAATAAATTGAGCATTGGGTAGATTGTTATAAATAAATAATATATTTGTAATATCCCAATGAGTAGAAAAATTAGATTTTCTGACGTTTCGTGGCTTAATGTAAGTCAGAGAATAAATAACCAAATTAAAATTAATCCAAGTTTAAATATTTACTTGATGATTGATAATCCAAATAACTACTATTTATGCATAATACAGTGAACAATAATCTTTTGAAAGAATTCCCTTCATATGTTACCATCACATGATGAAATTTTCTCAAATTTACTTACATGTGACAGCTGACAGCATTCTAATAATATTTTAGTTTGTGTTTGCGGAAAAGCGTTTATGTATTAATATAAGTTAGTTAAATCTTATTAAATAAAAAACATCAAGTAGAAAAATGTCTTAATTTTGATCCATTATTCATTGATTATTGAGCCGTAGATGTTACGATAAACGTTAGTACTACATAGTATTTTTTTCTCTGCAAACTACTGTTTCTGAGTACCTTATATTAAACTACGTTCTCTGTTTTTCATCTAAATCAGAATAAACAGGCAAAAAATGAGCCCCCTACTACTATTCTCAAAGGTCAAAAACCTTTAGTTCCATCCTCAAAACGTGTTTGTGATGCAGCTGAGGCTTGTCTGTCAAATTTAATGTCAGTAGCTGGATCTTTTCCTGGACCATTCGGGACCGATACAACATGTTCTCAATTAGCAGAAGATAACATTTTGAAATTGATTATGGATGAAGAGTCGAATTCATCTAAGGGTCGGTCAGAATTTCACTATTTCTGGTCCGAACCCAATTTAATAATTGGATTGTGCGAATTCCCTACGAACTCGTTTAAGTCAACCATAAAACCAAAAATTGATTGTTCAAAAGATGGACCAGCTGCAATTTTAATTATTCGAGGACCATTTGGACGTCATGTTTGGATAACACATATGCGTCTTTCACCATTGTTGGGAAACGACTCAAATTCTCAGTCAAATTATTCGGATCACAAACAAGAAGTAGTAATTAATCGTCCTAAACCTTGGGGTTGTTTTCTTGACAGACTTATCACCACAGTAACCAACAATGAAAATGTTCCTGCTTTAAATTTTCCACAATCGATATCCGATATTTCACTTGTTGAAGCGTAAGCAATATGTTTCTTGATTATTTGTCATTACTTAGGTTTGCATTTCGAGGCTAGATATACTCCCCAGTCTTGAGGAAACTGATCCCTTCTGGTGGGTTTGAGTCCAGTTCATTCACACTCACAGTATGAAACGTTGTCACTGAGCTATTCTTGCTGCAAATGACTTTCCATTGGATTGAGACGTTTCCAATTTATTGGTCTCTAAGCAGTTATTAATGTCATGTTTTCTAGTTTTTTAGCGCTGATCAGTAATTGATAAAGATCCACCACTTTTCTGTAGTTGTACTTTATATTTTTAATGATACACATTGAGCTGTAATTCAGTTTCTCATTTGTGCCCTAAATCTGCTTAGTACTGTATTTTTGTGCATTATATATATATATATATATATATATATATATATATATATATATATATATATATACCCAATTCTTTATCATATCAAAATTAGTGATCATATAATACCTTCGCTGGATGAAGTTGGTAGTGAATTTGGAAGTAATGTTAGACAAGAAATTAATGTATTCAAGAAATTAATAACCACACATGCTTCATTAGCAAAGGAAGTTGGATTACGTTGTGTCCAAGAAAAAATTAATGCACCTTATCCTGATCCAATCACAGAAGCACAAGCACCAATGTAAGTTTGATTTTTTGTGTCTTGCTTTAATCTTATTTTGATGAATAGAGTAACATGAAATGAGCTCAATTTATCAATGTTTTTCTATACATTTGTACTCTCAACAGTGGCTGACATTTTTTGCACGGTTATTGTGACTCCTGATCCCTAGTGATGGGAATTTCCTGGGTGTGATTAAAAACATTTAAAATTAAGTGACTGGTTAACTTGTTTTTAAAAAATTCGTGCTCATGTGTTCAGGAACATTGTTGCGATTGGAACGCTATCAGATACAACGTACTCAAGAACACATTATCGGTGTCCATGACAACGTTCGAAACAATACAGCTAGTACTTTGTAATTTATTTACGTTCATAGTTCGAAGAAAAGGTGGTCAGTCAAGGGATATCTACGTTTTGTATTACTTTTCAGGAATCAGTAATGTTATGCCTCAAAGGGACTGCCGATTATATGACAGTGACTTATCGATCGGATCAATTGACCTATCTGCACATTTAATCGATAAGTAAATTACAAAATTTGAGTTTTGGGGATCTATCGTCCCCAACAAGTAATCAATATTTATTATTTTAAAGCCGATCATTTTGTTGGACAAAATGGGATAAAAAAATTTATATTAAAGAAAAATACAAAAATAACCGTGCGATAAATAGTATTCCTCAATGGTGTCATTCTATAGTAGGTATTTCAGCGAGATGTTCATTCATATAGTTAAATAGGGAGTTTTCATTAATAATGGTAACCAATGTGTCAGTAAAATGTTTGTAGTGAACTTCAGCGTACATCCATCAGAATAAAACTTGTATTTAGACTGGAAGATAGTTTTAGAAGAATACGTATTATGACTGTATACTACGTAGTTTATATTCTGATTTCGCTTTTTAACACTAGAAAAATGATATTGCCGTACTAATTACTTTTAAGAGAGCAGGTAATCTACCGAGTAATGAGTAGTCTTTACAACATTTTCTTCCTGAAGGTAAAGTCTGTCTTGTAGATATAGATTCGAAAGTTGCTACTTTTTTAAAAGAGAAAGGCATTTTATCTACTGAATGAACATTTTAAGTTTTAATAATAAAATAATGGTATATTCGTGATATTTTAGTGGCTGGTACTGTGTCAAGCTCACACAGGTTATTCTAGCATCTGGACGACAGACCAATTTATTCATTCTTCTCAAGCCACATTTTAACCTGATTACTTATTATTTCTGTTTTTATATGATCGCATGTGTGTTAATTGCTCACCCTATTCATTACGTGTTTCCAACTTATTTTTGGTCTGAATATAAATATTGAGTCAAGCTTGATCAAAACGAGTCGGCTCATTCGCCATCTCCACTGCGCGCCACTCTGTTTCTCTGATTGTCTCTTCAAATCATTTTTTGTTTTGTTTGAACACATAAATATTGGTACAAGAGGGCACCAAATATATATGCGCCACAAAAAACAATGAGAATTCGAAGAGAGAAAAACAATAACTAACAGATCAGTGTAAGGTAGTGTAATAATAATAGTAATAATGGGGGAAACGGAAAGGTACAATCGGAAAAAATTTTTCAGTTAAGGAAGAAACAACCAATTTTTATGAAGAAAGTAAAAGAAGGTTACAGCAGGATCGCCACTGGCTTCTATTCTGAGCCATATCTGATAACATCTCTAGCCACTGTGTTGCGCTATCTCTCGGACCTCAGCCAGGGAGTCGTGAAGGTCCAACAGAAGCCAGCCCTCTGCAGCTTTCTTTCATGCCACGACACTACGTCATACACTGACTACCTCTCCGCTTTTTCCAACCAGTCCCAGCGTCGGCAAGTAATGCACGACGTGGAATTCTCCGGGACGACATTCGTAGAACATGTCCAAGCCACCGAAGTCGGTGTTTCAAGATGGTGACACCAATTGGATAATCGTCTCTGTGCCCGAACACACGATGCCGAACCTCTGCATTACTGACATGGTGTTGCCACTGAATGTCAGCAATCCTTCGGAGACAGCGATGATCGAACACAGAGAGTCGTCTAACGTCCTCAACTCGGAGAGGCCAGGTTTCACAAGCATAGAGCAAAACTGCTCTCACCGACGCGTTGTAGATCCGACCTTTTACAGCCAGACTAACATCACGAAGGCGCCAAAGGTGGCCCAGATTGGCATAAGCCGCTCTGGCTTTCACTATTCGTGCATTGATCTCATCACTCACACCCCCACCAGCACTTATGCAGCTACCCAGATACACGAACTTCTCAACTACGTCTATCTGCTCACCATCCAGGGTGAGTACAGGATTAGAATCCTGCCAGTCTTGTAGAAGTACTTTGCACTTCGAAGGTGCAAAGCACATACCATACCTACGGACACTGATTGCCAACTGATTAAGTGCGGATTGCATGCCTTGGGCATTATCGCACAGTAAGACAATATCGTCCGCATACTCAAGGTCGAGAAGTCTTTCTCCAGGCAACAGATCCACACCACCATTACTTACATTCATCAGAGCTGTTTCCAGAATGTCATCGATGGCAAAGTTGAAGAGGAATGGTGAGATTGGGCAACCCTGCCTAACCCCACTGCTCGAATGGAACAATGGAGAGAGGTGGTTGTATGCCCTCACTCTGCCTGAGGTGTTTTTATTAGGGCTTTTAGGATGTTAATAAACTTCTCAGGCACACCCTTCTTCAATAGACAATCCCAGAGAACAGTCCTGTCCAACGAATCGAAGGCAGCCCTGATGTCAAGAAACACTACGATTGTTGGCCTTTGATAAGTATGGCGGTGTTCTAACATTTGGCGGAGGGTGAAGATATGATCAATACATCCTCGACCAGAACGAAACCCAGCCTGCTCCTCGCGAGTCAATCTTTCTCGGGTTTTGAACAACCTACGAAGAATGACGGAAGCCAATAGCTTGGACGCAATCGGAAGTAGACTTATCCCCCGATAGTTGTTACAGGAACGACGTGAACCCTTTTTAAAGATAGGGACAACTATCGACTCATTCCATGACGTTGGTACACTCTCTAGTTCCCAAACCTTTGTAAACAACGTCGTCAATTCCTTAGTCAAAAAGTCACCACCATCTTTAAAAAGAGCCGGAGGTAAGTCATCTGGGCCAGGTGATTTGTAACGCTTCAAGAGTTGGAGTTCCTTGCGGCTTCCGCCTCTTTTGGTGGATCAGTCGTCACCGATCATGGAGGGCAGAACAGCCTGATCGATGTTGCTGGAGCAGCAGACCAGTTTAACTGCCCCCCGAAGAATTCCACCCATCGTTGAAGACGTCGATTTGTGTTGGTGTTTGGCATCCCGTCATTCTCTTAGGTTGTTTCGCGCACACCAGCCCCCTTGCTGCCAGTGGCTCGGATGAGTTGGAAGGGCTTCCGGTAGTTACCAGATGCAGCTGCTGCTTCCACCTCATTAGTACGCTCTGACCATCAGGCTTCTCGGTCCTTACGCAATTTTTGCTTAATTTCATTACGTAACAGTCGTCGTTTGTGGTCAACCTCACGGTCACCTGGAATAGACCGACGGGCTTCAATGAGTTGTAAGGAGCCTGAAGAAACCCAGTGCTTATAAGCGGGACGTTTCGCGAAGCCGCAAGCTGCTTTACTCGCCAAATCAGTTAGTATGAAATATAGGTATTCAAAATCCATTCTCGTATTTGGCTTATTTTATTCTGTTGTTCTCTAGCACAAATTAATTCAATAAAAATATACGAAGGTTGGCGGTACGTATATTTCTATAATAATGATCATGCGATTTAACTGAAGTCATATATACGGTCACTATAATATCTCAATCAGTAAGAATTTGGGTTTCTAATGTTTTGAGGCTCTGTGGCCTCTTCTGATTAAATAAATAACTGTATAAGACTTAACACAAACCTAAGTAATCTGTTTGATCTTAATTTAATACGGTTATTTATTTACTCTGAAGTGGCTTACACGAAGTCACGAAACATCAGAAATTCAGATTCTTACTCGTTGAGAAACCACGAATATGTCATGATTTTATTATTAACACTTTACCGAATGCTCAGTTTGTTTGAAAATATCAAAGCTTAAGTTATTCACTTTTTAGGATAGAAACTTTACTTTCTGGTTATGTGTTAACAAATTTTCAGGATAATTTTTTCTAGTGATTTACGAAATATATTATGTAGTAGTTAATTGTTCATAATACAGCACTGTTTTATGTACTCTGAATGAATTTGCCCCAGTGGCGGTATAAGTGCACTTTAGCAATCAATACATTTTCGAGAACATGTTTTAGTAAGTGACAATTGTTTCTATTCTTGCCTTTCTCAGTCCCGTTGTTAGTTTTCACCCAATACGTTTATTACTAACACATTTGGGCTATTTATCAATCGGACCTTCTCAAATGCCCCAGTCATTATGGCCACGTCCAGAGTTAAAACGTGATAACCAATCAGGTGAACGTCTTGGTCTTGGGAATCGGCAAAGTCCATCTTTAACAGCTAATCGTATCATACAGGGGCTTTCGTCTACTTTGCCGTCGAATAGTACTGAAGACGAACTATTGCCCTTATTTCCATTCGATGTGGAAAATCCAGATTTTGCTGATATATTAACAAATCTAGACCATATGCCGACCAGAACAGGTGATACGCTTTTGGTTTTTTATGTTGCTGCTGGTCAGTCAAAAGTTAGTGATATTCTTGCGAATATGGTAAGATTACTACTTTTTTTATTTCTGTTTATCAAAATGACTTTACTTAACTGAAAACTTAATAAAATTTAGCTTCTTATTCAACGAAAAACCACTCCACAAGCTTCGAGATTTAGTTCTGAATTTTTTTTCACAAAATAACTCCAAACATTTAGTAGTATCACTTGGTCGATAAATATTGATAATGAGCCTTCAGCATTGGAAAATGATAATGTTTGCATAATAATCAGTTGTCTCCATTTATTCACCTGATAGAATATATGACATTGGGATTATTAAATACCTAAGATTCAACCCATACTTTCATTTAAACAGTTTACTGTGTGTCGCCATTTTTCATTGGGAACTGTTGAACTCTATTCATATTTTCCATTACGTCGAAAACCCAAAACGTTTCGGTTTAGTGTTCTACGAGTTGAAGATGTGCATAATTGGTTTCTGTTAAATTCATTTTCCAGATGACATGATGCAAATGTTCGTGAACTATTCTGTATGGACAGTGGGAGTAAGTTTTATTAACTACAACTAACAACTCGATATTGCATACTTATTGCGTTTGTTATCCCTCGTTGAGCATAGACTGTTGACCGGCAATCTCGAATCAACTCTCCTGGGTTCTGCTTCCCAGTTATTGTCAAGTGTTATTCATTCTTTCAAAGTCCGCCTTCTATTCCCAGCACAATGTGTTCTCTGGTCTACGTATGCCTGAACACCAATTACCACGACGTGCAATGCTAACCGGTATTAGAAATGGTTGGAAGAAAGTTAGGGGCGGCCAAACCGAAACGTGGCATCAGTGCTTGAAGACATTAACTCCTAGTCTAAGCCATGTTGGTAGATGCAGACTACTTGGTTGGGGTCCGCGTGACTATTGTAACCAATGGTTGAAGACTCTTGGTGGCATGGCTCAGAATCGATCACAATGGCGTCGGTGTATACACTCCCTGTCTTCCCTTAAACTAAGAGATTAAAATCACTTCATATCTTTCTTTCTACGAAATAATTCTTTCTTCCTGTACTATATCCTTATATGCAATCTTTCTTTTATATATTACCACCATTGACTTAACCACTCCTATGAATCCGTCGTTGTGCTAATGAGGTATGTGTTGGGATATTCAGAAAAATATACCAATAATTATTCTGTTAGGTCGAATGGTGTCCTTGGACTTTAAATAGACATTTCCTATTGGTCAATGTTTATTTCACTTGTCAAATATTGTACAAATGTTGTTTCTATTTTATGGTACGATGTGGTCTGCTTTATTGGTATATAAACAGAGTATGCTTGAAATATAACGATTCATATCTCAGAAGCTGAGACGTGCGTTTTGGACTCAACTGGCTGGGCTAGACAGGGAAGCAGGGCCAATCAGGACTCTTGGTCGTTCTTACATGTTTACGTGTCATTGATCCGATCGATAATACGCTGTGCATCTAATCTGCAGTCACAAGTCATAACAGCATGGCAACTTGGACCGATGCATATATGTGCCTGGTCCTACGTTGTAGCTGACTGACTGAAGGTTTACCTCGTGACCCAGTTTGATAATTCCCACAATGTGTATCCTATCCATCCAGAGTCTTGTTAACTTCCTGGTTTGTTCTCTGCAACAGTAGGTATCTGGCGAAGACAACTGTTTATAGATGGCTGTACTCTTTTGGTGATGGTTGTAGTAGTTCTCCACGTTTCAGCTCCGTACAACAGAACTACATTGATGTTTGTACTGAAAATTACGACTTTCACACTTCGACGTATAGAGAAAAAAATTAGATCTCTACCAAAATAACTTATACTGTTTCAACAAACCTTACTCCAAAGATTGTCATGTGAATATTTGGTGTGGAAATTTTGAAAAACAAAAAAATAATATGACGCACTAAGATAATGGTAAATTGGTTAAGGTAAACCGATAGGAATGCAATAGAAAATAATCAGATCATAATAGATTGTTATTCCATAAGGATTCAAGAAAGTAAAGATTTACTAAAAGCGTATTAATGATTAAAGGTGGATTAGATGAAATTTCTAATAATTACTATTAGCTTTAAAACAAGTATTGATATATCAAAGCCAGTTTCTTCAACACACTTCCCAGTCAGTCCACTTGTGGTGCGTTCTACTCATATTGATGTAAGTAGTATATGACGCGAGTTAAAAAACTTAATGTATGGTAGCAGAAGATGGGGGAAGATCAAGAAAGGAAGAGCGAGAACACAATGCAATTTGTAAGAAAACGCATGAACAATGAAATGTGAGACAATGGATTGGTGTTTGCAACAGGAACAGTCCAGGTTCATATGATGGATTAATATTTTGCAAATTAACGATTTACTGTATGGTTTTTCTATTTTACCAAGTAACTCTGTAATTGTGTGCTAGATACAATTCGATTGTCCCCACCCAGTGTTCTGTTCACTACACACTTAGTTTTATATGAATTATTTTTAATCAGAAATGAAACTAATACGTATCATTCAAATGCTTAAGATAAACGACAATATCTTTTGTCGAAATATTTAATTAATTAAATTATTCACAAACATGTTATCGCTTGATTTAAAATCGTTGTTGCAGTTATTCCTGATTGTCGGGTTTTCAAATGAGAACAAACCCGAGTTAATGGCTAAAGGAAAACCTGTATTTATATGAGAGGATATAAGTCTCCAAATCAAACAAAATAATTTCTGAAAAATAAATGTCCTATTAAATTTATATAATAGTTATCACATTTATTAGATAATATACCAAGCTTTTGATTTAATCAAATAAATGTTATTTTCATTGCTAAGTCTCCTTATTCAGCCTAGTATTCTTGGACACTTCCGTTCACTCGACCAGTTGTCAAACTAAAGCAAGACTTGGACAGGGACGTAAATTACATTCCGAACAAAACAAGGTAATAGGATGTCGATGTATTCACAAACTTTACACAGGAATATTTGAGAATTCTCTCACCTCATCCCTTAGCGCTGATTGGGTGAAAGTGATCCGATCAGCGCGCTCCACTGTAGCATGCTCTGATTAAGTTTCTGGTCTGATAACAGCAATGTAATTACACAGTATTGGCATTTGTTCATCATTTAATTTGAATCTTGTACATATATGACTTCTACATAAATTACTCCACGAAAGTATATTTTACATTCCATAAATGTTTAGACAGTCAGTAATTTTGATTTGTGAATAATTTTTTATTACGTTTGACCATTAATCCTGGATTTCCACCTACCTAGTTCTGTTCATGTACGTAATTTTTTTATTTGCTAAACAGAAGATTTGGTCAAGATTACCTGAAGCATTTCATCAGTTCTTAAGTGGTATCGGCTGTATCAAAGATATTTCTGATCATTCAGGTTGGACAGGGAACCTTCAAACTAGCTATCGTACATCAAATGGATACTTTGTGACGGGTCACTGTAATCAGACGAAAAATATACATGCTGACCACTGTCCAGATGGTGTTCAATCAATTATATACTATGCTGATGCAATAACAGAATTAGCATGCATTTGTCCCACTAATCAATTTTATGGAAATGAAGAGAATTCTGACTCAAACCGTTCGTTAAAGAGTACACGTTATCGCACTGCTAGCGAAATCATAAGTAAGTTTAAAATTAAAATAATTGTGATTGGTTTAGTACAAACAGTACGAATAAAATGGGATATTTCATTGATCGGACGGTACTTCCTGAAGGATACACGAAATGCACTCGACTTCGTAGATATATAATTTACGTTTGAACCTGATTTATCTCTTGAGGTAGCTAACACAATGGGCTCATCACTATTACTTTTAGGAAATTCGATAGTTTAAAACGCTAAAGACGATTGCCATTAAATAGGTTTGTGTTGCATGCATATTGGAAATTTATCCATCTCTAAAAGTGACCAATAGCTTACAAGGTGGTAGATTTCATCAAGTTTAAAAGTAAACAGTTCCATCAAGGGAAACTAATTACTTCTGATGAATACTAATTAAAGTGACCATATGGAGTATATTACACATGACTAGATTACTTCATGCAGAAAAATGATAAGAGGACAGTGTATCTGTATGGTAAACTGTTTTCAAAAGAGTATTCAATCCAATTAAAGCAAACACTAAATAGATCAAGGTTCTCTAGTAAATATATTTTAGTTGACAAACAATAATAACTTCCTTTACAAGTTTACTTGATGTTAATCTGGGTTTTTTTAGATGTTTAGTGTTTGTAAGATCGTGTTTGGTAAAAAGGTCACATAAGAAACTGTTTGGTGGTTTTGAAAGACTGTGTAAATTGGATATTTTAATAATTTAACTTAATGTGAATAATACATATGCGTACTCGATAAGTAATTTCTATTTCTGAAAAAAACCTTGATACTGATTAAAATCCCCCATTCTTTATAATAATATTATATTTTGTTTAATTATAACACCAGCTAACATCACTCGTGGGCAAGTCAAAGTGCAGTAGGCATGGGAGAAGTTGGGGCGGACCCGACTGGAGGTCGAGTGGCATTTGTATGGCTCGAACGATGGGAAGATGGACCTATGCACTATGAACCAGGAGTTGGAACGAACATCCAGAATATGACGAGCAAGAATTTTGACTGCCCTGTCACAATTTATGTTCATCCTTTAAGTTCCGGATTATGCAGAGTTGGCATTATGCGTCTTCAAGGACGAACATTCGAAGCTGGTCCATTACAGAATGGATCTGTATTAAGTCAGCGTTGTCTTAGTAGTTTTGTAAGACAAACTGTAATAAACTTATCACGACGACGTCGTTTGGCTTCCGACTCATTTCAACCTCCTCATGTTCGACGAAGCCATGAATTGTTCAGATTGGCAGAAGCAAACCGTAAAATTGTTCGAGTTCAGCCATCATCATCTGGCAATAAAACTAATACATACTCTTGTAACACAGCGAATATTGTGCGTAGTCTTTTTTTTAGACAAACTCAAATTCATTCTAGCTAAAGCTTTTCATATTTTAACTGTAATATCCACTATTGTTGTGAACAAGGATTCCTTCATATTTACATATCAAACAGAATTTTTTTTTCTTTTTATTTTCATACTTCCTAATCTTACGTATTTAACATGTAACTAAATATACTTTCATATTTTAATTTTCTTCATCTATAATTATGGTAATGATATATGAAATCTGCACACTTACTACACATTCAAAATCGAATACTGTCTGTGAGTAGACTGGAAAATGCAGCGGACATTTAGTCTTTACAGTTGAGAATTCACATAGAAAAGGTAGATAAAAGCTAAGTAGATAATTTTTCGATCTGTAAATGTAATGATGTAATGTGATAATGTAAACTACCTCCTTTACATCCTAAAATGACTAGAGGTGTTAAAGACATTATCACAGGATTATCATACTTCGACAAACTGATGGACGGCTATGGACATGGTTGAAATTTATTATTTGTCAACTCAAAACACTTTCATAGTAGTTACAAGAATGGAAACGTCTCTCAATGGTACGCAATGGAAATGGATGCTTCTTAATACTTTTGTTGCTCACGAACTATATTGTTTATTAGATTCACTGAAATCGCTGTATTTGTGACAGATCATAAAACTGTTACAATGCAATGTGCCATTGGTTTTTATATTTACAATTTGTACATAGAACATATACAATTATTTGGTTTCTAACGAAATGGTCATAGGCGAGCTCCAAACTTTGGATGTGAATCCTCCTGAAGATATGAATTAACAAAAGCATTAATTCGATAATAATAAACTTTTTTCATCTGGTTTTGCTTTAGCACCTCTAGCAAATTGAACAACCATCGGACGATCATATAGCATATAACCATTTGTGGCTTCCAACGCTTGTTTGGCAGTTGATTCACATGCAAGGCCGATGAATGCCTGACCTGAGAAAAACAGTAGATTTTAAGCCTATACTATGAAATAGGATGAGAAAGATAGTGTGGTATACTGATTTTGTTTAGAATTGCTAATAATAAATGCAGGTATGTTGTTATTCGCGACTCTTATAAATCAGAAGTCTGACGATAACAACAATTGGATTTTTTACATCAAACATGTGATTATTATATTGAAGAACATTTACTGAATCAGATCGACTCCTCTTGATATTATTTGTTACAACCAAATAAAAACTATAGAGTATACGACTAACTTATAAAAGAATTCAATACAACACAAAATGGGGTTAGAAAGTAAAACAGAGCTTAACATCATCTTGTACTCACCTTTCATTCGACCTTCCGTCAAAAGCCTTATTGAAAAACACTCTGTTGAGTCCAACGAAACCCTTGATTTGCAACTACTGTCAGTCACAGGTCCGTTTGAGAATACCCCGAATATTGCAAACAAATCGGCTTCTGTAACCATTTGAGATAAATTTTTGACATACAGACGAGAGGTGGTAGTTCCAGTATCATATTTAGCGAATACCGGATAATTCTTGCGATCCTCATCTTTTAGGCGATTGGATATGATTTCATCAAGGGACAGTACTGTTACGAAATTAGACGGGTTATTATCAGTAACATTTGTCATATTTTCACTACTCAAAGGTGGTTGTGATGGTAGTGGGATTAAATCTTCCAAGTTCTCGTGTTCTTCATCAGAAAGTTGTTCTGCGAAGAAAAATGATAAGCGGGATAGGAAAATGTATGTAAACAAATCGTCCATAAGATTCAAGGGATAAATTCTGTTCAAATATATCACGTATTTCAAATCATTTTTTATCTAACTTGCGTAACCCTATGCTCAATACGGTTTTGTATTGGTTAAACATAAGTAATGCAGAACATAATCTTGTCCTACCTCACATCATTTGAGGATCTAGTCATTCCACATTGCATAACCGAACATCTGAAACTAAAGTAAGTGTATATATTATGCATCAAACTCTCGGATTTACCTAGCTAGTATCATGACAAGACTTCATAAAATCCTCCTTACCTTTACGGAGCTGAAAATTGGAGAAGATTGATGCATGATTTTCTTGAGAATTCTGAGTTGGTCCGTCAAGAAAATGCCGTCTCTCTACTTTAGTCCCCGTATGGATAAGTCCGAATCCACCTTCAGATTCATCAAGTGAATTACTATGATCACGCTGAGAAGTGACGTTAAGAATCTTTGGCAAGTTTAACTTTTTAGCAGCTTGATGTGATTCGAATAAATCAGCAACATCAACATTTTTACGTTTGGAAGTCTTAGGAAGACGACTAGGTAATACAGTAGGGGTTTTTTTGCGGACTTTGGGACGTCTTCTCACTGAGATGCTTTTTGTGCACAAGTAGTTGCTTTTTTTTCATCATCTGAAGGAAACATAAAGTAAAATCAAAACTTTACCAGAAGCGAGTTCAGACTCCGGTCCACTAGATAAATCCATTTCTTCTGAAACTGAACCTGAATCATAATTTTCCTCTTTTGGCAAGCGCTGGATATTATCTATTAGTGTTTGCATTTTCGCATAATCTGAAGCAGAAATGACAAGATAATCCCCAGGGAATTGTTCCGGATCTTCAAATGGTGGTGGTAAATGAAGTTTGTTCATTATGTGGAGTACCTGTAGAAAAACGTGTAAATATTACCGCAGGTTGCTTAATGCGAATAGTGATGATTAACTGTCAGATAATTTTAATTAGTTTTCTGGACAAAACAGCTATTCACTGGTGAAAAGAAATGTTTCTCTCTAGAAGCATTTTAACAACAGTCGATGATTTCTGTTCATCGCATGTATAATCAAGGTTCCAACATAAATTAGTGTGCTAAATTGCCATTAATTTTTTTGGACTTCATGACTATTAACAGAAGAGTGCTAATGTGAAAAAATCTGACAGTGAATCGGTTTAGTCAGCCTAAATTAGGATAAACAGGCACAACTTAACGTTCCATATATTTATAAGCATTGAGGAGCTCCCAAACTCGTCAACATAGCTTAAAAGAACATGCGCGAAAAGCGAATGTCCGGAGCTTTAACCGGGTTGGTGGTGGACACGGAGAGTCCACCTAGGATAGTTGGAAAACCCAGATTTCAAACCAATCGTGTACATGGGCTCCAGTATCCTGAAGGAACAAATGGCGTATGAACCAATCGTTGACAACCGGCTACCATGGAATACATCTCCTCACGATGCTCCACTGCCTTGTGGTTCAGACCTTGAGGTCGAAGGCTCCGGGTGTGGTCCCCTAAGGAAACCACCTACTTCGGTTTGGGCACCCGTGCAGTATCCCAGCCCTCACACATATCAAATGAGATTTGTGTGGCGCATATGTACTTGGTGCCTTCTTGTACCAATATCTATATGTTAAAATAAATAAAGTACATTGATTACGACTGACTTATTCGTATTCTCGAGTATGTGATAGTTTAACGTTTAACTAATATGTGATATTACAGGTATGTCAGTAAAACCGTCCAAATAGAGTCAATATCGGAGGTTATGTACTACAAAGTAATTCTACTGCACTATTATAAAGAAACCACAACGATATGCATTGATTAGAGCATGTCTTTAAACTTAAGGGTTTTACAGAACTCTAAACTGTTGCGTAAATGCATTCAAGGATCCTGACCAAAAAACACAAAACTGTCTTCACTTTTGCCTACCTGATTATAAAATGCTGGGCAAGAAGCCAACGATCGCACAATGTTTGTCAGTACATCAATGGATACAACAGGATATTCATAGTACATTCGTGAGGAAGCTTCAAAAGATGTATCCCACATAGCAGAAAAAGCATTCGTGGTTACGGGAAGACATTCTTCTTTGGATTTGTCTGGATTAGTCTTTTGGATATTAACTGAAGATAATCTAAAGAAGATTTAGAGAATGTCGTCCTTACTTTTCTACAGACTGGATGAATTCAACTGAAAGACGTCGATCCAATATTTTCTTTTGGTGAAGATTTTTAATGATATTCCATGCATGTTGTTCAGATGCGAACTCCGCATAAGCGCACTAAGTCTGAATTAGAATGAAACAGATAAAGGGAATACATTACATGTTTGAGAGAACCGGAACATCCAAAATATTGAGACGTGGTTGCCCCCAGAGATTTTAAAAAAGTTACACATTCATCTTCATTTATTTCAGGTGGGAAGTGTTTAAAAATAAGACATCTTTCATCTGACTTCATATAGATGGTATGTTTAGAGAAAGCTTCAGAACCAGAATAAGCAGTGGCTGGAAAAAAAAACAAAAAGGGACTAAATAAAAATGATTCTACAATTCATTACGGCTATGTTAATAGAGATGAGCATGTTTTAATCAGTATTGTTATATTAACAGTATTGCGCACATATCGCTAACAATAACCAGCACTAGAAACTAGCGCAGTTAACTTGTACAGCTAATGTGGCGAGACTATAATTTATGGACGAAGCAATATATAAGATAACGCGGAATTCGACAATCCATTTGATTATCGTGTTTTGGCATTTTAGCTTATATCAATTTGTGATGAAAACCACAAATCTAATTCCTAACCCTAACCACTAACTGCAAATCATAATTCTAATTCATCACACTGGTTTATAAAACTAAATTAGCCCTGGTTGGTCAGTGGACATCCTCAAAGTCAATTTAGCGTCGCTCAAAAGTCGTCCATAAATTATAGTTTCACCGCTAATGCAATTATCATAATTTAAGGTGTAAAACTAAGTATTTATTTATTTATTTTAACACATAGATATTGGTACAAGAAGGCACCAAGTACATATGCGCCACACAAATCTCATTTGATATGTGTGAGGGCTGGGATACTGCACGGGTGCCCAAACCGAAGTAGGTGGTTTCCTTAGGGGACCACACCCGGAGCCTTCGACCTCAAGGTCTGAACCACAAGGCAGTGGAGCATCGTGAGGAGATGTATTCCCATGGTAGCCGGTGTCAACGATTGGTTCATACGCCATTTGTTCCTTCAGGATACTGAAGCCCATGTGCACGATTGGTTTGGAATCTGGGTTTTCCAACTATCCTAGGTGGACTCTCCGTGTCCACCACCAACCCGGTTAGAGCGCCGGACTAAGCAAACGATGTCCCAAGGTGATTTAAAGCTTAGGTGGGTGACAAGGTAGTAATTCCTTCGAGTCTTAATCTCAGACCATATCCACAGAACCTTTGCGATCTGAGATAATGTGATGTATCAATAGATATCAGTCTAGTACACTTCTTTACTCATTAATCTTAGGGGTATGCTTCACAGTTTAACCTGATCATTAACGACTAAATTTAGAAAAATGCCAATACTTTCACACGAGAATAATTTGTCGGACCTCGCTATTGAAAGCTAAAAACGAGTAATACTTTAAATTTCCTGTGAAAAAAAGACATTCAAGATCATTTACATTTATCCGAGATGAAACCCAGCCTTGATCTAACTAGATCAACTTAAGTTGTCACGTTCCGCTTTTGGTTGATCTAAGTATAGCTGGAAAACATCTTGTGCACTTAGAGAGTTTGAAAAGCAGTATGTTAGACTATCTAGAACAGAAAAGAAAAGAATTGAGTTATTGACTCAGTAGCCACATTGAATGAAACTTCATTTAGTAACGTAAATAAGTAAAAACATTCGGGGATATCACGAGAGTAAGACTAAAGCGATCTGATAGTTAAAACTAGGAAGTGACAGTGTAAGGTTTCAAACGAGTTAAAAATTTAAAGCCTGAAAGTAACCCTGATGTAACGTAAACCCATTTTGCGCGCGACAAATGACCTTTGAAAGTGTTCACAAATAGTTCCAAATTGTAAATAATGGAACGAAGTATTATTATTAATAATAATGGCTTCATTCGATATTATAGTTTTAGTACAATATAGAATTCTCAGCACAGGTTAGTTCAACAAGTTACTTACGCAACAACAAAAAAAACTAACGAATACAAAAAAAGAGAAGTGTTTTTTTTAAAAAAGAAAAAAAACGAAAAACTGTACAACTTTTAAAATCAAGGACATGTTAAGAATGCAAGTTATTGACTAGGTTAACTCTAACAACTTGGTCGTCACAGAGTATATTTGCTAGGTAAGGTATTATAGAACTTTTATACTTTTGCTTGCGTGCATGGATTTTAATGTAATTACGTCTCATTCTAACAGAAGATATACAAGGAGAAAGATAAGAGTGAAGGGGATGGCTAGTATCTGATAAAATAACACCTGTCAGGAGTTTGCATGATTTTAAATGTGTATACAAAACAATATTAATTATGACCTCGAAAGATTCACCACACATCTTGCTAGCTGCCTTCGGGACTCTACACAATACAGCAAAGTCTTTTCTCAAAAGCCCGGGAAAGAATAATGGAGAACAGTAAAGAATAATAGGTAATATGCAAGAATTGACAAATTGTAAGAGTAAATGACGAGTAATTCCAAGAGCATGCAATCTCTTTATGTAGTAGGTCAGACGGAAAACCTTCTTTGATAACAATAAAACGTGGGAAGACCAAGAAAGATCAGAGGAAAAGGTGACACCAAGATAATTGACCTTCGACACCGCGTTTATCAAAGAGTCTCCGATGTTAGAAGCATTATGGGATCTCAAAATGGTGTTTAGATTCCGTTCATGTCTCATGCTAAGTTAACAGCTTGACATTTAGACGGATTAAGTATGAGACCATTACCAACAGACCAACAATCAATACGAGACAAAAACCCATTCATTTCTGTGGGATGTAAAGAGGAAGATATAGGCATACATACAGTGAGATCATCCGCATATTTCCCAAAAGTGTTTTCTGTGGAAGATGGCAGGTCATGCAGAAAAAAAGAGAATAGAAGAGGTGAAAGAACAGCTCCTTGTGGTACATCTTAATGAGACAGTAGAGACTCTGAACACTTTCCTCCAAACACAGTGTACTGTTCCCTTCCAAAAAGGTAGGAACATAGCCAGTTGGTTATCCAGCTGTCAGTGTTGACGCTGATTAACTTGTTAAGTAAACGTTGTCTTGGTATGGAGTCAAAAGCTGAAGTATGGTCCAGAAAAGCACATCGAACATACTTCTTACCCTTTTCTAAGTTGAACACTATGTTGTGATGCAGAACAGCAACAGCATTTAAAGTGCTTCTTTTGCGTCCGCAAGCAAACTGATATGGATCAATATGCTCTTTTATCGAAGGCTGAAGTGAAAGTATTAATAATTTTTCATTGTTTTGAGGAAGGGTGAGAAGAATGACACAGGTATTCAGTGTTTGACAACGCTTCTACCAGTAACACCTAATATGATTCGTTCCCACCCAAAGAAATCAAAAGACAGAGTCGAGGAGGTCGGAAGAGTGTATTTGGCGATGACCAATATATCGGAATTCTCTGATCTAATTTGGCTAGCGATTGCAGTAGCAGTTGAGCACGGCGTTACGACAAGTGATCTGGTGCGGATGCCTGACCGAGCGCCTTCAGCTAGATGAGTCCACTAAAACATATGGTCAGCATCCAATGTCGAAAACTTACAGAGCTATTTATTTTGGGGATTTATTTACCGCTACAGATTATTCCCCCCCCCTAGTGGGTCAGTGTTGACCCTAAGACGTGGGCAGCCAGAAGTTTGAACTCAACGAGTTTTGTCGTTGGTAAACACTCTTCTGATAGCTTGCTAGGATTAGCAGCGTCTGGTCGTCTTTCCTTACTATATGGGACCGGGGTACAACATAGTAAAAAAAATGTACAATGTTTCGGCACGATTGGGCGATCTCTACTTGTAGATGCGTCACACAGTAAGGTTTCCTTACCTGTTCCCACCTGTTTGATACGTAGCTTGAGGGTTGTAGACGATAACTTTTGCTGAAGATCAGTGTCTTCTTTTTGAAGCTCGGCGAGTTTAAGAAGGTCGATTCCTTGGAAACTGTTCAAGGAAGTTATGCGAGATAAAGCGTCTGCAACTACATTGTTTGCTCCAGAAATATGTTGAATATCTGAAGTAAACTGCGAAATGTAGTCCAGTTGTCGAGACTCACGGGGAGAGTACTTGTCAGAAGGAGAGCTTAACGAGAAAGTGAGCGGTTTATGGTCCGTGAAAAGAGTGAATTCACGGCCTTCGATATAGTGTTGGAAATGCCGTACAGCACAATACATAGCTAGGAGTTCCCTACCGAATGTGCTGTACCTCGATTCGGTGTCTAGCAACCTTCTAGAGAAAAATGCCAAGGGTTGCCAGGAGTTGTTAACCCATTGTTGTAAGACTCCTCCGATTGCTGAGTCGGATGCGTCTACTGCGATGCTAATGGGTGCTCGGGTGTCCTGATGTGCGAGCATTGTTGCTTTAGCGATCAGTTCCTTAACTGTGGAGAATGCTTTTCGTGCGGTGTCGTCCAAATTAATGGATTTCGCATTTCCACGAAGTTGGTCGGTCAGAGGTTTCATAAGTAATGCGCATTCGGTATGAAACGTCTATAGAAACTTACCAGGCCGTTAAACGTGCGTAATTGCTTGACGGTGGTCGGTTCTGGGTAATCCAGAATGGCCGCCACTTTGGTTCTAAGGGGTCGGATACCTTGAGCATCGATAGTGTGTCCTAGAAAGTCTAACGAGTCGGTTCCAATTTGGCATTTCTGAACGTTTACAGTAATGCCATGTTTTTGTAATCGTTCGAAAACAAGATCCAGATGCTTGAGATGTGTTTCTCTGTCCGGACTTGCGATTAGACAGTCGTCAACATACGCGTGTACGAAGTTGAGACCTCGAAAAACGTCGTCTATGAATCTTTGGAATGTTTGAGCAGCATTCCTTAGACCGAAAGGCATTCGCAAAAATTCATAGAGTCCGAAGGGAGTTATGATAGCTGTTTTCGGTATGTCGTCAGTGGCCATAGGGATTTGGTTATACGCTTTAACCAAGTCGATTTTCGAAAAGACAGTTGTACCTTTCAAGGTAGCTGTCAAATCGTGAATGTGAGGCAACGGGTAACGATCGGGAATGGTTTTCGCGTTCAATCGCCGATAGTCACCAGTTGGACGCCAATCGTTGCTGTCCTTTTTAGGGACCATGTGCAACGGAGATGCATATGGGCTACTTGACGGTCGTATGATTCCTAAGTCCATCATGTGATCGAATTCGTTTTTCGCTAACCTTAGCTTTTCAGGAGCTAGTCGTCGTGCTTTAGAGAATACAGGTGGTCCTGTAGTCGTGATGTGATGTGTAAC